AACGTGGAAATGTGGAAATGCGGAAGTTATAAATGTGGAAAGTTATTCGCTGCAAACGTGGAAATATGGAAATGCAGGAGTTCTAAATTTTGAGTCAGCCGTCACTCCTCTCACATCTACCGTGAATACAAGAACAACCTCGGTTGAAGAAGAGGTAGCTGAGGCGTGGGGTTTTGGGGGATACCATGTATACATATACGTATGTATAGATATGAGAAATATGCTGTGCATGGCGCCACCCGATGGCCACATGTTTCCTCAAAAAAGTCAACTTCATCAGCTTCGTTACTGGACTTTGATGACTCATGATTACTAATGACTACTGCATGCTATAGACGCTGATTGGTGAGTGTTAGGATGATGCGCTGCCATCTTCATCTCGAGGCACAGAGTTATAAGCCAACCAAACATACCGGCGTGAATACGACCTGTCGGCAGCCTTTAGTCCACTTAATCTAAACATCTGAAGCTTCGTTTAATCAGAGACAGTACTTCTACTAACCTACTCTTAGCAGGCCACCTTGAATGCGTTAACAGCAAGGTTCTGTTTATTGTGATTTGTGACACGGATTGGGCAAGGGCGAGGGCCTGCTCTAAGTAATCTCATCGACGTCAGGACTTGTTTCGCCAGATCTTCAGTTATATTCATTCAACCAGTCTAGTAGTCCCAATCAGCGAAGTCAAGACAAGATTGATCGGATGGGGATGATCCTGGCTTCCAATTTAAACGATGCATTTTGCAGCTTTTCTTGTTGAATCAAATTTCTTAGACTCATGCAGCTAATGGTTTCGGCAAAGGAAAAATTTGGTGGTTCACTTAGACAGATTAGTTGGGCTGGGACCTTGATCTCCTAATCGACTGATGCCAATCGTTCTGGGCAATGACATAAGTTGGGTTGGGGCCTTGGCCGCAGAATCCAAGCATATGCAACTGGACCGCTTGATGCATGAATTTAATTCACGCACAATCGCGACTTGAGCTCGTCATAATCCAAGAAACGTAACGACGTTGACGTTTAGATTAGCCAGATCAGAGCCTTGTCCTCCCAGTCTTGACTCCTCATGCGAGTTAGCAGCTGGATTTAGCCTTGTCAACTAAAGTGGTCAGTTAACCAAGGGATCCGACGAACTGCATTATCAGATCGACTACACCAATCAGGTTGATTGGCTTAGGGCTTAGGGCCGTGACCTTCCAGTCCATTTAAATTCATGCTACAATAATCTGAGTGGCTTTTCGATGTCACAAGTTCACGAAGACAAGTAGTCGTCCTAGCGAACCGAGTGTTTTCTGTCTGCAATTACTCCGTACGCTTAAACTAGAACCTTGACCTCCTAATCTAACAAGGAGATTAATAAAATTTGTCGGATGAAGTACAATGACGCCCTAAATTCTTGAGCCAGTGCATCGAAGCAGTCTAGTTGGATCTAGCAATTTGGGCTTCACAGCTCACGTGCATTCGAGCCCTGACCTGGAATTTCTCTAATAACTCGTCTGATTTCTTGATGCCTTGACCTCCTTGTCTGAGGTCTCAAGTTCGCTCAAAATCATGCCATCACTGAAATTGTTTATATACGTGGCTCGTGAGAACCAAGTGGTTTCACCAGCTATGCTAGTTAGACAGGTAGATTACGGCCTTGTATCTGAATAGGTTTAAAAATGCAATCCAAAGACTAGCCAGATGAATGTTCAGCAAATGAAGCCCTAATTAAAAGCAGCGAGCTCGATGTACTTCATCATTAGACGTAGCACGTGCATATATAGATATATATATATACGCATATCTGTATGTGTATATATATATATCATATAGACATCTGTGTGTACTTCTTAACCTTTGTATTCATGTACCTATGTATGTATATACGAGTACTGGTAGGGTACCCTTAAGGGCAGCGCTCTGTAGCAGTGAAGGTCACAGAGTTAGATGTCCTGGGACCTTGTAGGTGTCGATTTGGAGCATGGTCCTGAATATAGTAGTTTCCATGTTCTTTTACCCTTTTTTAACCCAAGTATATACCCCATTAGAATATGGTGGTTTCCAATTTCTTTACCATGATCCCTATACAGTTGGTCCTGGCACACCGAGGCTTTTCGTGCAAAAGAACAAAAGGAAGGCATTACTCTCCATTTTCCTGTCCTCAATGCTTGCCAGCATGATGACAATGTTTGCCTTCCACGTGAATCACCTGCGCCGCCTCTGCATTGGAGGTTTAGGGTTTAGGGTTTTTGAAGCCGAGCTAAGGAGCTTTGCAAACGGTACTGATATTCAGGCTGATTCCAGGTTTAGGCAAATCCGAAAATAGCAGCTGAGGTTCCCAGAGGCGGAGGGAGGCCATGACCAGCTTTCCGATTGGGGCGAGCGCCAGTTGATCACGACAACAAATTTTTATTCCGGCTTCAACGCAGTTGTTGGAAATTGTTGAGGAAGGCTTTTCGATTTCGATGAATACTTTACTTCAGCCATTTCAGCCCAAGACAGACAGAAACAATCGTTTCTCATAGTATTTTCAGATGTGGTCCTGGCCCCAAACAACTCTAAACCATTAAGCCTTGACGCCTGAACTCAGACAAACGCCCAGGTTTCAGGTGGCCTGGACTTGCAGATTGAGCATCATCTGTTCCCAATGTTGAGCTGCTCGTCTTGGATTCCCGAACACATTGAGTACGGGGGCTTAGGTGTGGTGTGCAGAGTGTATGGGTTTAGCGCGCGGGTATACGCTGGACAAAAACATATATTTATGCCACTTTTGGCTAGTTCTGACTGGCAGCAGGCAGGCTGAAGAGAAAAGACCCGTGCCTCAAAAATGTACACGCCCCAAGGCTACAATTACCAGCAAGCGGTACAAGCTACCATCAAGGAGGTCGCCGAGGAGTTCAACCTGCCCTACAGATCCTGGGTCACAAGGGTCTGGGATGTAGGGTTTTCAGGATAAGGCTTTATGGATCCCTGATGCCTTGGGGTAGTATGGGTCACTTGTTAAAAACTGAGCACTTGAAACCAATTTTTTGCTGGGGACCAAGGATCCTACACGTCGTTGGGTAGTGGCCTGATTGAGCATTTTGCGTACATGGTGGAGCTTGGTAAGAACCCGATTGAGGCGGCATGAGGCTAAGACAGCCGAAGTTTGTGCGAAGCACCTCTGCCCAATTGGGTGGAAATAGTCTTGTCTTGTCCAGCTTCCCAATGCATGGAAGGCGTACTAATCATCTAGACTACCTTGCCATACCCGCGCTGTGCCGGCCACAATGCTTTGCCTCGATTGCTTTTCTAAAAGGTGCAAGTAGCTATGTATTGTATGCATGAGTTTGCCGTTCATGCGCTTTGGAGGACCTTGTGTATGTACGATTTGGGCACTTGGACCCACACAGTGCTTCTTAATCGCGCCTTGTCCGCCCTGAGTCTTCGTGTTGTGGTGCGATGCGATCCCCCACTCCAGACATAGGCAGGGTCATAGCATCCGCAAAGGACACAAGACACTGAATTCGGTTTAAACGGCAAATCAGATGAGCAGGGAGGGCGTTACATGCATAAGTTTACAAGGATGGATTCGGATAGATGACCCTATTCCTCATGCAGGCTTCTTCAGTTACTCTTGAGTTCTCGTGCTAGGTTTCGATTGGCTTTCAGACGCCTCGGGAAGGGCGGCTGCAGGTAAATTCCACTGCGCGAGTTTCCCCGCATGCCCTTGAGCTGTTTGGCCAGCTCTTATAGTCAGGGATTGGATCGTCTATGGCATGCTTGCTTCCTTATTTGAATTACAACCTGTGGGTCCTCATAGTTCTTGGAGTAAAGCCGAAACAGGAAATCGCCTTTGGCTAACTTAGAACTGCCTGTCATTTTCAAGATCAACCGGCATTGTTGTCAGTACAGTCGTGAACACCTGCCGGGGTCCGAGAAAACATCTTTAGTTTTGCTCGCTATAACCTTCATGTACTGCTGAAAAATAACGATGACTGTTGCCAGGGCTCCTGCGCAGGTAGAGGATACTGGATACTGGGCCTGCGCAGAGGCACCCTAAACCCAAGCCGCGAGTTCTGACGAAATCATACATCAACAAAGTCTGACATGTTCAAGGACGAAAGTATTGCAAGTTAGATTTTCCAGCTGTCCCTGAGCTTGCCTGTAGTTGTGTGTCATTCTGGTCCGCACCAGGCTGCGGCAATGGAGCGATCTATCTCGAAGCAGTGGAGGGCAATGTGCGGCCGCATGTCAAGGAATATGCATTTTCAGAAGGCCACAAGGATTAGGATGATAGAGCTGATTAGAGCTCAACAGTTCTTTCTGGGCTCTGAGTCTTTCACGGCCAGTCTGAGAGCAGGCACTGCCATCAGGGCTGCAGCAGTGTGTCTAGGCACATCTCAGAGCCTAACGCAGAAGCTGACTCATGAACCCATTGGCCGTGATTCCCTTCATCAGGCCATTTCATGAAACTGGAACGAAGCCTTGACTTTCTTTAGCTACCACGGATCCGGCGTTTCCCACGTATGCCTTTCCCTGGCCGTAGCCCTTGATGGTCAACATTTGTCATGGAAGCGGTAGGAGTGTCGTTCAAGAGTTAGGGTAATTAGTGGTCAGCAGTGTTTGCACGAGACCCCCAACCCCTGAGCCCCGAACCCTAAGCCAGAAACCCTACATCCTTCTCAGGGCTAAACCGTAAACCCCAAACTCCTTACTAAACTGACCCCATCAATCAAAAAAAATACTTCCCCCCCAAACCACCCCCCTCTCTCATTCCAGGCCCTGTGCTCGTGGTGCTTGCCGCCTTTGCGGCTTCTGCCCCACAGAGGCCCAGGCCAAACTCCTCACCGAGCAAGAGGCCCAAATCGTACTTCCCCAAAATATCCAGGGTTTAGAGCTTAGGGAGAGAGATCTTTAAGGCGGCAGAACAGAATTTTGGGCCATACATTCAAGCATGCAAGCTTTGAGTTGTGGGTTCTGCGGGGGCGTGTTCGGCTTGAAGTACGCCCATGTCTTCGGGTCGTTGAGGGTGCTGATGGAGGCATGGTTGAGATTCTATTTTGAGCAGATTGCCGAAATGCGTATGTACTAGGCTTGTGAATGCTACTACTTTGGCTTTTGAAGAGTTCACTGCTTTGAGCCAAGTGTTTACTTCAGGGAGGGCTTGTTTCCGACATTTTCGCATTCGGGTAGTTTCAGGGTCTTGAAGCAGAAGGCTTGCAGACTCAAAGGCTCGGTGAGGATTGTTAGCTTCTTGTTTCTTGTTGTCGTGCAAGTTCGGGGCTGGCTTGTAATATCTTGTAATTATATGCCGAAACGATCATCCGCATCTCCTAAACCCCCCATGAAGGATCCTAGTTGTTTGCAACCTCTACGTTGGGCCTTCCTACCCCATGTTCTCCATGAGTAAGGCCGTAAGGGTCAACGAGTACCCTTGGGTCTCTCCGATCTTTCTGGGCCCAATATGCACATACGTCCTCCAGAAGGCTCCATGTAGCAAGTCCTTTGGGCCCAAGGTGTAAAATGTTTTCTAGATGTGTAGGCCCTAGGACATTCATGGAGAACAAGCCGGATATTTTTCAGTGCAGCCACAGCTCAAGGCGCATGTGGAGGAGCCACGGCCTTAGTCTGTTGTTTGATGATTTCGAACCCTTTGCTCCAGAGCTGCCTACGTTTCCAAAACAGGCGTGGCCTTACACACCGCAAGGTATTATAGCCTAATCCATGCTGCAGATCCAAGATTCTGATGGTACAGTCGGTTAGGTGCGTCAGTTGAAGCCAACACAGGCACCGCCGAGATTTCCTTTCAGTTGTCAGATATTCAAAGGGTTCTCTGCTTGCGAAATCTCCATCAATCCTGCCTCCGCTGAAAGCAAGCTCTCCGGGCAGCGCGATTCCAGATTGGGATTCCGCGGGTCATTGAACATTGCGCAGATGGCAGGAAGAGGGCATGCTGTTTTACAGTTGTGGGATTAGGGTCCATGAACTGAGGTGCATCCAAGAGTGGGATCGCAAGGTGAACAACGCTGCGGCCTATCTCTCGGAGGCCGCGGCCTCAGGAGCCTCAAGCTCCAGCTTTGTTAAAAGGGCTCTAATAGGAGGTAGAACATAATAGCATATGAGGACCTAGTAAAGTCCCTTTACTTTTGGAGATTTGGGGGACAAACTCGAATCCTTCCTAAATGCCACTTGGAATTCGAGTTGTAGTCTGCATGCGGGAATGGGCGTTCCACTGTCAACCGTGTTGCATTTCTGCATATGTATATTACAAGTATATGTGTTTTTAGAGGGTTTGTGTTTGCAAACGCCGGACATCCTGATTGTTTGCAGTATATCAAGGGATGCCTGGCTTTGAGACTGTTCAGATCTACAGATAGAGTTGTGGAAATTACCGTGTCATTTTCCACAGCTCTTACAAGGTTTTGGCCGCTCCATATGCCGTAGGCTGCACTGTTGTCAAAGTGGTTGATGCTCCGCAAATCAAAAACCGAGCATTAGAAGCAAAACAGCAAAACTGGATAATCCACAAAAAGCTTAAGCCTCCTAAATCCTTAGCCTGACCCCAGACCTGAACCCCAACTTTGCAGGATACAGCATCACGCCTGGAGAAGAACATGGAGGGCCTTTTTGCCGACTCCCACTGGTTGCGCGACCGTGTGGCAAGGCAATGGAAACTGATCTTACTGGAGATCTCTTATGCTGTGAACACAAGCGGTCAGAAATGCAACGAAATGCAGTTCTAGGGCCAGACCTTCAGAGAACTAAGCTAGTCTAAGTCCTGAGCCATTCGCGCGGCAGGCATCTGGTCAGCTTCTACGAGGCCGCTAGCGCGAGCGTTCGTGCAGGGTGGTTCAAGGAGTACTGAGCAGAAAAATGCGTAGGATTGGACAATTGTCAGGCAGCTCACACTCTCAAACCTCAAGCTACCTAAGACCTGAACCCTAAATAGTAGTTTCCATGTTCTTTGCCATCATCACCTTATATATATATATATATATGTGTGTGTGTGTACGTATATGTATGTATGGTAATTTTCCCAAATAGGGGGACCCCAATAAAGACCCTAGTATATTGTAGTCCTGATTATTGGGAACCCCAACAGGTCCCCCTTATTTTGGGGACCCCCATATAACCCTATATAACCCTACTTGTCCCTCATGGTCATCAAGCTGACGCACCGCCGCATCCCGTTGGGGAAAAGTTGAACGCATCCAAACCTATAGTTCCCCTTAAGTAGAAAGAATATAGGGTACATGGGGATCTCATCCTAATATACCCAAAGCCATATTCTATCTACATAAGGGGACTATATTCCTGAACCCTAAAGTATGCAAAAAAATGCCTTTTGGGCTGTTTACTGGCCTTGGGCTATTATTTCACCTAGTTTGGGGGTTTAGGTGCAGCTCTTTCGAGCTTTCCCCCAAACAGCTGAACCATCACATCCTCAACTGTCGCCGCTAAGCGCCTAAAGTCAAAGCTCTGAAATCCTTAAACTCTCAACGCTGGACCCCGAAACTCTAACCCTGAAAGTACGAACCCCCAAGCTTAAGACTCTACACCCTAAACTACTAAATCCCAAGACCAAAAACTCTCTGTGCAGGGCTTGGGCGCTGCTGAAGAAGCTCTGGCGCTTGCCACACGCTGCGTAGACTTCACAGCAGAGGTGCTCGGGGATCCGGGTCCTGGCAATGTAAGGATCTATCTAGGGTTGCAACATGGGTTCCTTATGCAACTGCGAGCCTGCGTTTTCTTCAGTCTAGCGCAAGGATCAGCAATGGTTCGTTACTCATTTCCCCAGAAGACCAACAGGTCATCTTGAAGATCTTTGCCAAGTGTTCGTCTGACGGAGACATGCCAAAATTCTGAGCAATGTTCACAGTGCAGAATTGCGAAGTTCTTTTATAAGTGCCGGTTTGCCCAGGATTCTTGCTCGCACTTCCAAGCAACCCGCATAATGCTATTGTAATCCCTACGGGTCCGTAGGGTCTCTGGCGATGCCCCTGTTTTGAGGAATGCCATAATTATAGCCACTGTGCACTCCTTAGATAGCCTCCATAATCCCTCAACTCTCAAAGCTAGGTGTATCCTGGCTTTAGCGCTCTGCACGCCTGGTCGCTTGAAACACAGGCAGCGCAGGGGTCGGGCATGTAGGGGCTGGGTTTTTTTTGACCGTGTGAGGTTTTTTTTGACCGTGTGTGGGGCTGACGTGTGGGGCTGAGGTCACTGGCAGGCAGGGTCGGCCCCCAAGGCCCAAAAAGAGCCCAGGATCGGGCTCCGCAAGGTTCAGACAGAGCCCAAGGGCCAGCAGACAAGGTCAAAACCAAGCCCAGGACCAGGGCTATTTCCAGCCCCGGCACGGTCTCTCAAAAGCCCCCGCAAGGTCAAACCCCAGCCCAGACGCGGTCAAAACAGAACCCCCCCTCGCCAAGGTCATTCAAAAGCCCCACAAGGTCAAAAAAAAACTTTACAGGCCGGGAAGGGTTTTTTTTTGACCGTGTAGGGGCTTTTTGTTGACCGTGTGTGGGGCTGACAGGTCGTCGGCAGTCCGCGATATGCGTTTGACCGTGCGAGTGTTGAGGGGCAGAGGGGCGGAAGGGGCACGGTCAAAGCATCACATTGCGCAAGGTCAGGGCAGTGTCCGGGGTGAGGTCAGTGGCAGGCAGGGTCGGCCCCCAGGATCGGGCAGGTCCAGAAAGAGCGCAAGGGCCAGCAGACAAGGTCAAAACCAAGCCCAGGAGCAGGGGCCCTGGCAGGCTGCACGGGCATTTCCAGCCCCGGCACGGTCTCTCAAAAGCCCCCGCAAGGTCAAACCCCGGCCCAGACGCGGTCAAAACAGAACCCCCCCCTCGCCAAGGTCATTCAAAAGCCCCACAGGTCACGGTTTTTTTTGACCGTGTAGGGGCTCCTTTCTGCACTTGTTGGCCTGGGTTGGGGGGGGGTGCGAAGACACAGCTTCGGCAATCCGGGGCAAAGAAATCAAAAAAAAGCGAACGCTTCAGTTGTTGGCCTGGGGCGGGGGGGATGATTCAGTTGTGCCTTCGGGTGCGCATGCGCTGCGAACCGCCGCCTTCGGGCGCGCGTGCTCTTTGCAGCCACCACTTTCGGGCGCGTGTGCTCTTTTCAGCCTGAGAGGAACACGGCATGGGGGCAAGGCAGGGAACAAGAGGGGGAAGACACAGAAACAAGAGGGGGACGAGAGGGACCACAGGCGAACAACAAAGGCTACTTGTGAGGGAACACCCTGCCACGAAGAGGGCGGGCGGGGGACATCGCGGGGACAACAACGGGGGAAGAACCGGGGCCACAACCGGGAGACAGCAGGAAACAAGGCGGGGACAACAAGGGGACAAGGCGGGGACAACCGGGGGACAACAGACGAGGACGACGTCGACGACGACAACGACAACGACGACGACGATTTCTTGTTTTCTTTCCTGTTTCTTGCTGCGTTCGGTCTGCTTGCTGCTCTGTATTTGTTGCTTTGCGCCTGTATAATCCTCCATAATGTAGCAGCCTCCATTTTCTTTTCACGAATGCTTATAAACCCTTACATAAGCCGAACATTCAC